AACGGCTACTTGTAATCTCCCTCTTCTTGCTCCTGATGGCTCCATATTGTCTATGGGCACTACTTTTGCGGAACATGCCGACCCTTGGGCTTCTAAATGATGCTGTATCCCTATACAAGTGTATATCCGTGAGTCCAATCTGCTCTTGGACACACTTGTATGGCTGATTGTAGCACAGATTGCTGAAGTTGAGCCACTAAGCACAGATATGAAGCCCATCTCGATCACCAACCCATTCTGCTTGTGATCGCCTCGCGAACCCCTCCCCCAACATCCACCGGAATGTTGCTCCGTACTTCCATATATTAGCTGCATCTACTAACCGCCTGCTAGCAGTGTATTCTCGAGTAGGGCATGCAGTCAGCTTTAGTATCAAAGCTTTTCACGGTAGGCATTGCTACTCCCGGCTTTCCCGTCTGGTTGCCCCTGTGGGCATTCCGGTACGGAGCACGGAAAGCAACGTCCCACTCTTATGCCGGGCCGCTCATCCCCATTGAGCAGATCGATCAACGAATATCTGATTAGAGCTCGGCCTTGTCCTGTAGACTTAACACCTACGAGCGGCATGAGTTGGCACCCCTTTGTAAACATGGCTCTGGAGGTGATGCTCCTGCATATCGTGACACAGGATCGGTAGCGACACGAGACCGGAATATCATCTATCATATTCCTGCAGCTGGCATTGCAAGCACAGACCCCACAGCGACCTTTTCTACTCGTCACTTGGGCTATTGACAGTCGCCGTCAAAACGGGGATAATGCCGTCACTCAGCTCAGCGCTAGCTGCTATATTTCTCTTTGCCAAACGAGGATAGCTCTTGGTACGGGAATCATTTACTTGCATAAGCACCAGTTAGTCTTTGCCGCTGCTGAAACTCGTTCGTCAAAGAGATTTTACAACTCCAACATGCCGTGGATGCTCCATATTAGTTGGCATCATCACCGAGGTTTCTTTTTACCATACTCTGAACCTTTTCGAAATATGCAGCCCAAAGGAAGAGCCCCAGATGGATGTAACCCCACAGACATAAACTGCCGGCATCGCAGCCACCACGCCTCACTGCGCTTGAGGCTCAAGACTTATGTCATGGTTGATGGTGCCACAGGAACTAGGACAAGAAGCAAACATGTTGTACAACGCACGTCCGCATACTGAAAACGTCGCACTTTGGACAGCGGGCGCATTCCGCCCGATATGTCCCTCTATCTTCGTATATGCCCTCGGCCGGCCGTGCGTGACGTAGGACAAAGAGACAGAAAATCTTTCCGCGGATGCTCTCCACTGGAGCGCCGATTACAACAGTAACGGACGATTTAACACCAAAAAGGCAACCGCAATGCCATGAGCGACGGCCCCGCAACTCGCACAAGATTCTCGTTATGTGTATCGAAGATTTTTCGACAGTTTACCAGTCAGTAATTCCCCGGTCGTCAACAAGAGAATTATGGGGATTCTAGGAGCACTAACAGGAATATCTGGGACAGCGCCCGTTGCTACCCCATGCCTAAGCACGCAGAAGATTACAACGATGCAAGGGCCGTGGGGTGTGCTGAGAGCGAGCGGAAACCAATATGGTGGATCAAGCCCTATCTATTCGCTTGTATAAGGGTAAGCAATTGGCGGCTATTTTGCTGAAGCCACTTGTGCTACTACAAGCAGGTCGTATGCGGATAGATGGTCTGCTGGCCAATGTTGCCGGTACGTTATGCATCAGCGCTTGATAGTTGCTGATACATTCCTGCATTCATTCGGTATCAAGGCGCAGCTCTTACCTTCCAATTGCCTACACACTTGACCGCTTGGAAAGCAATGGGTGTGAGGTAATAGGGCCTCATTGAATGTCTGGTCTGGTCCATGGAAATCGAGATCGAGTCGGTTGTCATGGACTTACCGTCCTCATCCCACTCGCACCAAATGCCCAACCCAGCTTTTCGAGAGACCCACGCCACCCATTTGCAATGGCCTACCTTTGCAAGCGACTGATTTGCATATTTGCTTTGCTCCACTGGAGCTGTGGGATTGTGCAAGTACTTGCTTGTACTCCATGTGTACAAGGCGGGTCTGAGCAACTGGGCATCAGCGGAATGTTTTGCATTATCATTCAAGTTGCCATGGTATGTGCTCAGCACCCATTCTCAGCGGTACCGTGACAAACACAAGCAATGCAAGTACGAGTACGGGATCCGTAAAAGCATTGGATCGCATAGAAGATGTATGAAAGTGATTCACAATGGAACAAGGCATCATCGTGGAGTATAACAAGAATAATATACTAAATACTAGCTTTCGCTCGGCCCGCGCCGAAAGGGACGACGCCCCCAAGCCACATCTCTCGATCTCCGCTTGGATTACCAGCGCCTACTTGGAGAAACGTTGAGCCAGCGAGGTCATCTATTGATGCCCAGTGGCGGCAGCGACGAGGCTGCACGCATAAAATTGTGCTTCGTTTAAACACGCATAGTTGCAGACAATCACCGCGGCTTCGCATCACAAAGACACGTGGTGGCGCAACAATGGGATTTCCAATGTCCTCTAGCATTTGCAGAAATACCTCGAGACATGACAGAACACAAGTACTGGTTGTGATTGCATGTATGCGCTGGCCTCTCTGTGGAGTGCGGCATTCTTGGAATTTGATGTCTAGCTGAGGAAGCCAATACGGTTGACTCGGACGTGGCTCCGTTAACATGCTACCCTCCTTTCTCTTCTCTTTTCTTCTCTCGCCGTCGATGATGGACCAACGGTGCAGCAGATGGGGTCAATGGTTGACACCAGGTCTCCATCATGATGCAGGACAGCGGCATCATATACTACAGGTGCCCGTAAGACTCCCCATGCAGCTCCGAGCCTGGTAATACTGTACTGTATGGCCCCTCTCCCAATTGCTCAACGGTGGCTCGTCTTGACAGGGGGGGCATAGTTACGCTCAGTGGCACCCCCCTCTACTCCATAAACAAGCGGGCTAATGTAAGGCCAACCTCATCCGGCCATGCCCCGGCAGGACCCTAAGTTCGCCTCATCACCTTGCGGGCTTGGGGGAGTTTAAGCCCTCCGGCTGGCTACGGCAGCTTGGTGGAATGTCATGCTTGTAGGGTTGAGGCTGTCATCCTGCCAAGCCCATGGTGGACAGCACCTATCCTATTACGGCCCTTCTGGCCAAGTACCGCATATACTGTATGCACACACGCGGCGGCTTGACAGGCTGGCTGGTGGGTGGATGTAGGGTGTGCGACAAGAGGAATCAAGCTCGACCATCGCCGCAGGGCTCTGATAGAGCTTTGCGTCTGCCGGCGAAATAGGAGACGAGTAGTCTAAATCTCTACCCAGCAGGTAGAGTTAGGTCCCTACTTTGTTCTTCATCTCTTATTGAACCCCCCCAGTCTCTCCTATCCTCTGCCATTCACGCATTTACCTTGAGGCAGCTGCAGTGATTTAGAGCAGCGACCAACATACTAAAAAGCTGCTTTCTACTGCCGCATCCTCGACATATAAATTTCGAGGATATCCCAGTATACTGACCTGGAGCCAGAGCAGCCAGAGCAGCCAGCGGCCACAGTTAGAAAGACTGTTATCTTGTACCGGCTTATAATTCGAATAGTTGACTGCCACCACACATTATATGCTCATCATGGCTTTGCCGCATCAGATCCCTGGCCATGGCGATGTCATGGACATTGGCGGAAGCCGAATGCACCAGGATGTTGGAGAGAGACTCTCCAGAGTCCTCAAGGCCGTCTATGGCCCCAATGCAAAGCCAACTCTTCCGGACGAGCTCTTGTATACTGATATTGGCCTGCCCATATGGAACGAGATCATATTCACCCCTGAGTTCTACCAGACACACGACGAGATTGCGCTCTTTGATGCTCATGGCAGCGACCTCGTTGCGCGAGTTCAACCTGGTGTGACCTTGATTGATCTAGGAGTCGGGTGAGTCTCAACATGATCAAACTTCAAGGAGTCATCTGATCTAACAAGCTCCATCATGATTCAGTGACACTCGCAAAGTGGAACATTTGCTGGCCTCTTTTGAGAAAGCGAGGCTGGAAGCCACCTACTTGGCCCTTGATATCTCCAAGGCATCGTTGGAGCACAGCGTGGGATACCTTCTCAACAAGCATCCGGCCGCAGATGCAAAGGTAACCTGTGCAGGGTTGTGGGGGACATTCCAGGACGGGATGGCCTATGTGCAAGGCATTGAAGGCCAGAGATTGTTTCTCTCGCTCGGCTCGGTGCTTTGCAACGACCCTTGGCCAGAAGCATTGAGCCACCTCAAGTACTGGGCAAAGGCGCTCCGGCCAAATGATCTTCTCTTGGTAGGAATGGATGCGCACTTGCTGCCTAACGATAAGGACAAGATCTGGGCAGCCTATCATTCCCGAGACGACTTGTACCACCAATTCTTCTTGAATGGCTTTGACCAAGTGAATAAAGCGATCGGGGAGGAGTGGTTCCAAGAAGAAGATTGGGATTTCATGGCGCAGCTTGAGGACAAGCCGACAACTCGGCACCGATTTTTCTTCCGCGCTAACAAGGATGTAACAATCCACAAGCTTGGCAGGACCATCAAGCAAGGTGAAGAGCTGGACTGGTTCGACTCTCACAAGTATGGAGAGGAGAGCGTTCGACTCATGTGCCATAAGGCGGGACTGAGTGTGATAAGTGTCTGGCAAGCACCAAACTCCGAGTTTCGTGAGTTCTCAACCAGTTTGCTTTTCTTAGTCTGTCGTTGCTGACATTTCGTCTCTTAGGGCAATACCTTCTCAAAATGAAGGGGGAGCAGGACCAAAGAGATGACGGAGACAGTGCCGTATCGGGGGTAATCTAATAATGCGTTGGACTGCGAGGGGCTTTTATTTGTTTGCTTCCTAGCTTGGACTCTTGAGCGATGGACGTGAGAGGCGATGCCGTCCGGGATGTGTCGGGGACTGGAGTAGATGCCAGTCTAAATAAATAGGGCTTAGACAGACGTGATAAGACCAATTGATATCCTCACCCTTCAGGTTAAGCATAGTATCTCGGTCTCGTTTTCCTGCACGCGTTTGACTAGATGCTCCCACCATGGAAATCTTTTGCCGACATCGACATCTAACTTTGCTCTCTTTCTTTTGGGTGGAGGCTTTAGGGAGGGCTCAACATCAATCCACATCCAGATCCGTTTCAACGCGTCATAAAGCGGAGGCACACTCTATCAGATACCCCGAGTCAGCATTGGCAATAGAGTAGAGTGTGGAGAAGGAGGCAGATCTTACACTTCTCACTGGCGTGCTGGTGACCTTTTCAAACCAGGTCTGTGCAACAGAAACGTGCGCAGGAACAGTAGCAAGCATTCCTAAAAGGAAGACTGGAAATAGAGGTGCCTGGGCGGTGAAATTGTAGCCTGAGGTTGGCATGATATTTATACATTTGGCAAGGTCAGATAGATCGCCCAGCACTTCTGGGTGATTCCGAGGCATTCTAGAAAGATCCTATTTGTCAGTATGACAACTTTTATTTGTGATAGTGAAGTTTGTCTCACCTTAAAGCACGGCATTGTAAATAAATAATGGCTGCAAATCTCCAAGCTTCCGCAGTGACTTCTGTCATGTGACATGCACTCTCGATAACAAAGCCTTCGGGAGCAGCACGCACCATTTCAATAGTCTGCGGCAGAGATTTGGCTTCTTCCCATGGTGCGGAGTCGGGAGCGCTGCTCCATTGTCTCATTTCACGCAACTCTGAGAGCAGAAACTTGGCAGTGAGCGGAGCGATTGTGCTTTCAGGATCTTGATAAAGCCGCGCAGCGCAGTATGAAATCTGGCTCATGGAATGAAGCAGTTTCTTTGAGAAGCCGCACCCGCCATGAATCTCATACATGTCTTCCATGTTACCGTAGAGGAGCCACCCAAAGCGAGCGGCCTCCTTCTCTGGATCGAAGACGGAGGGAGACTTGAGTGGCGCCATGAGCTGCGAAAGCACTACGGCTCTGCCGACAATGATGGACTGAGAGATGCGGAGGGAGGACTGCTGGACATTGGACTTTGACCAGAATCGCGACCCTTCGTCGATTTGCTCAAGAAAATGCTCACTTTGCTTGAACCCTTCAAGCCAACGCGGATTGTGTGGTTGCTTGCGACGGCGTTCAGTAAGGACAATCTGAAGGGAATGAGACCCCATTTGTTAGAATCGCTCAAAGTATTGAAGGCACAAACAATTCAGAGGACCACTCACGTCTTGCATCGATAAAATAGAAGAAATAGTGATCAATTCGCTCGTTTCAGCAACAGTAAGTTCCATCTTGGAGAGTAGTTCACTCAGACGGGCCTCAGCTAGAGCAAACCGATGGTTGATGCGCCGACTTATGTCCTCCAACGGCTGGTAGTCGTAGACATAAATGCCGGCAAGGCTTTGCATCGCACATAGCACGCCATTGTTCCCCTCCATGGGAGCAAAGTCTTGCAGCCAGGAGTTTGTTTTGCCGAGAATACTTCGGCCAGGACACCAATTCCTGATATCTGTGTTTCTCTAAAGTCAGGATGCGCAAGCCTAAATTAACTAGTGGTGTAGCATACAAAGGATTGTGCTGGGGAAATGCGAGGGAATGTGAAATGGACTGAAAGAAGCTTGAGAATTTTAACCTACAAAATGCCCAAAGCTGCCTATCTATTTTGTCCATTTTGGAAACCATCCCAAAATGTGACGGCAACATCGGAGGACCTTTCGGCGATGAATGGTTAGCCCAACTGTGAGGACTCCATGACGGAGCAGAGGGGGATGTGACTGAATAGTTTGACTCTGCGGAGGGCGATGCACTGTCTGAGAAAGACAGCGAGCGGTCAGACCTCCTCTGCGATTTCGACAACATGTCAATAATCTGGGACGATAGATGTTTTGAGTGCTGATTCGAGTGGTGGCGACTAGTAGCAACCAGGGCCGAAGATGACTGAGTTGAAGGTCGAGGAATCTCCTCGATTTGGTCATCATCACCATCGGCATCACTGCCGCGCTGCGTGGCAGCTGATATGGAAGACGACCGGCCACCCTGCGTTCTCCGCTGTGGCCAATTGAATTTGATATATGAGTTGACTCTGCCATCTGTGGGGCGAGTGAATCGCCGGGACCCTTGCCTTCCAAAGCTTGCCACACAATCTTTAAACGGGCTTTCAAATCCATGCTTTGGTAGGAGCTTTGGGGGGGCAGGCTCCTGTTCAGCTTGAGAAGATGAGGCCCGATCAGGACTGGCGGCTGAGACGAGGAGATCCTGCGGCGAGGAGGATTCTCGCTCAGTGGAATCTTGCCCAGGGGACTCTTGCCCAGGGAACTCTTGCGGAGGGGAAATGGAATTGCTCGAGTCAGGATCTGACGCTACATGCGGCGCTGGGTGCAAATGTCAGTCCTTGAATTCGATGCTGGGCCGTGTAACAGTGTTTTTTGCCTAAGCCTGGGGGGGTGGTTGGATGAGTTCGGGCGTGGAATGACAAAAGGCAGCAAGGTGCAATTCGTATGGCTGAATAGGGATATAATAACAATGGGAAAGGGTAGTGTAAAGAAATTGATGTGACACTGTCTGGTATTCTGAATCAACAAAGGGATGTCTCGTCTATTTTCTCTTCGGATAGATGCAGGAATCCATCAGAAGAAGGCGTCAGACAGGATAACAATGGAGCAGCGCCAGCATTCAGATGGCGATTGGGGGGTTAAACAACAGGGGGGATTGGAATATGTGTGAGGGGTGGCAAGTGGTACAGAAAACAAAAGCGGACAAAACGAGTAATGGTGCATGCAATGCCAGGGAATTGTAAGACAGGGGAGGGCGATTCCCAGGCTGGCGTGGGGTGGGATACGCTGCAGCGTAGCATCTGCTTTGCAGTTGACTTACCATTATCTAGAGGTATCAAGGTCATTTCTATTGGTGTATCTATCGCTGCTGCAGTCACCTGCAACTGCTCCTGCGGCAGTGTCGACGTCGAACTTGACGAAGGCGTAGATTCAGTTGAGGCCGGAGAAGGGCTCGCATCAATGACTACTTCTTCCGGCACTTGCGATAAGGGCCGGGATGTGTCAGTGCCGGAGGCGGCCCGACCCCCGCGGCCGCGGCCGCGGCCACGGCCACGGCGACGAACACGGCGGCCGCCACGGGTAGAAGGAATGACATGAAAGGCAGCAGCCACAGGAGCCGCCTCCGCAGGGTCGGGCGTGTTTGTTGGCGCAGGCCGGATCGGCCGCTGACGGCGAGGGCGAGCCTGGGAGTGCGAGGGTGCACGGGAGGGCTGTGGGTGTGGCGACAGCTTGATGCGCTTGGCCGGGCGCCCTTGATCCTGCGAGTCTCCCATCTGTGCGAGTCAGGCGCTTATCAGAAGCGATGAGACCAGCGTCGTGTGGCAACGAGGAATCGGGACGCCTCGATCAACAGGCCGCAGACACACGCCAGACTTGGCAACGGTGGGCTCACAGACGGAGGACAGGAACACGCGCACACATGCACACACGGGCCAGGGTGTGGGTGTCACTGAGCCTGGACGACAGAGAAAAGGCAGGCTGGCGGTGGACCATGCACAATTAATAAACCCGAACGCCAATGATCAGCCGGCAATGGCCTCGCGAGAAGAGCCTTTGCCCGGCTATACCAAGTATGACCAGAAGCGGGCGTTTCATCCACGGGCTGGGCCAGCCGGGTCAATCAGAAACCACCCTGTGGCTCTAGCGATCAGATCTCCTACTGTATCTGGATTGCAAAGAGTGAGCAAGGACGACCACCAGGGCGTGTAAGTGTGTGAATCGTGTGTACGAGTGAGATTGTGTGTGGGGGGAGTACAATGACCAGGCTCTGGCCTCCACAATGGCCCAACTGGAGGAAACGACAGTGAGGCATGCAGTGAGATTCGAGGCGAAAAGAGACATGATGAAAGGCCGATTGCCGGCAGGCATGTTAAGACGGTTGGTTGGGAGAGGGGAGTTGTTGTCTGCAGAGACCAAGTAACTAATACAACGTACCAGGCAGGTAGCGTGTGCATATGTATCCTGGCAGAGAAGCGGATTAAGTGCGTGCAGCAGCTTCAAGGGCCTCGGACACAACTAGAATACACAGGCTGACTCGAAAAAACGCAATAGTGCTGAGACTAACGCGAGAGAGATCAGATACCAGACGGCACGCGTACCAACAGAGCGGTTCGTCAACTATGGAGATGGAGTGTACTGTAGATTTGGCCGAGGGGTGGCGGCCTGGTACTTGCTCGGCTTAGGGGTGGTAGGGATAAAACGAGAAAAGAGAAAACAATGCGCGAGGAAAGCAAAAAATCTGCAGCGGCCAGTTGGGGGCATCCGACCCAGCCGGTGGTGATCTGGGCCTCGATCTGATGTTGCCGAGAGAGGCAACAAGAGGATAAAGAATGGGGCGGAGAGAAGAGGAGGAGCAGAAGAGAAAAGAGAAAACAAGGAGCCGAGGGTCGGCGGAAAACTTTTCTCACGCTTTCTTTTCTCGTGAGGGGAGAAGAGATAAAAAAAGGCCCTTGGGGAGGAGCCCAGAATCCACCGGACAAGACACCAAGGGCCCTCGTGTCGGGATCAACTGGTACGAGAGAAGTGGCACTTACCCACGAAGCTCCGCTTGGGAGAGGATAGCCGCATTAAAGGGCCCAGAAGATCGGGGACTGGGTTCGTAGGGCAACGAGTAATCAATATGTGAAGTGTCGCGATGATACGAGCGGTGTTACTCGTTATTACTCGCACTCCGGGCAGTGGTAACAGTACAAAGCAGTCAGATTGAGGACCAACCCCCAGGCAACTCGTGAGTTTCCTGGCGGATTCCTTTATGTAGTCGGGATCTGGAGAGATCTTGGGGAGAGACAAGTTTGCGAGTCCAAGAACCGTCCATCTTATTCGAACTTCTTGGTCTGGCTAGCCGTCGATTGTCTGTTACGCCTAAGATGCAGAGCGTCTCCCAAAGAGGGTGCGTAGCATGGGCATGACCGGGCCCTTGGAACTTGGAGATAGCCATAATTTCTTTTGCTTGGGGGGCCATGTACTGTACATAGCCCCGTTTCTGCACCAACGTGATGCTTCCGACCTACTGGTGCCCTCTGTAGCCTCACGATCGCGCTGTCCGACCAGGATGCTCATGATCGGGGCCAGGGCCCTGGCCTCACCGAGTGGAGAAGGTGCTGTGCCATCCCTGTGACAAGGGATTGCTCAAGGCTCCCTGGTGCAGCTGGCGGCCCTCCAAGCTTCCCCCAGGGCCGTCCAGATGATCGACGAGCAGCCAATCCGACAATGGACTAAGGCACATGGAGACACGGCACGCATACCGGTGTGCAGGGGTTGAGGCCTTTACTGCTTCTGGTGCTTTAGCGTCGCCAGCTCACGGCAGCTCGAGCGGTGCTTTGTTGTTGTCTCTTCTCTCGCAAGTCCTTGTCGCCTCAGGCTGTCGCGGCCAATCAACGGTCCGCCTCCTGTGACCACCCAAGTGCTGCACCATTTGCTGTGATTTGCCTCTCCTAAGGCTCAAAAGGGGCCGCCGTCCGTCTGTGACGCCGTGAAGCTCGCTTCTGTTGCACAGCCCAAGGCTGCTGGCGTCCTTGATCTCTTCGTTGAACCCCCCCCCCCCCTTCTCTCTTGGCTTCTCCGGCTCGCTCGTACGAGTATTTCTGCTCTCGGCCCCAGCCATCGCCATCCCATCTTCTACCCGTCTCTACCTCTCTTCCCTCTCTCTCTCTCGTCCTCCTGGTCTGCCGCGCCCTCTCAGTTGGTGCGGAGTCGGGTGGGTAACACAAACCGGCGATTGGCCTCGCGATCCTTTGCCCTCAAGGCAGGGTGGCCATCGTCACGCCAATCACAGGCATATCAGTCGCAGAGTGGCCACTAAGCTCAGCCGAATCAAGACCCCTGGTCCCTCTCCATCCTAAGCCCACCCCAAGAGAAAAGACACAAACATGGGAAATCCCATCGCCCCGTGATTATTCATCCTCCCATTCCCTTTCCATCATCGAGAGCCTCACCTCACGAGTGGGACGCCGGAGTGCTCACTAAAAAAGAGCACGCACGACGGCCCCTTTCCCTTTGCCCACTTGGCTTGGACCTACGCAACTCGACCGCGGCTTTCGGATCAAGTCCCTTAGTTCATTTTTGCCTGAGCCGTCAGTCACCGGGTCGCCACAAGGCTGGCCGGGTTCTGCTGCCTCTTGTCCTAGGTTGCGACCCACTGGACCAACCACGACGAGGCTGCTCCAAGACTCAGGCCATCTCCTGTTCAATTTGGATCCCGTCATCGGTTGCTGCCGCTGCCAATATACTATCAGCTTGCTGCCGGCGAGCGAACGAGTGAGTGTGTGTGTGAGCGTGAGCGGGGCGATTGAAGAGCAAGCGATCAGCTCAATCAATCGTCAACGCTAGAGCTGAGGATCGGGCCAGAGAGGTTTCACTTCAGCCTCATGGCCTGATAGGGGAGGTTCCCCTAGGACAGAAAAATTCCCTGGTTCTAGACTATCTACTCTCCAGAGTGCCGAGTAGTATATCCCAGGCTAAAGCCTTCGTTTCTTATCCAGACGCTGGAAATCCTGTAATACAGGTAGTGTCAGCTCACACTATGCCGCCACCCAGCACACATGTCTTCACGTTTGGGCTCAATGCGACACATGCAACTGAGGCTCTGGAAAATCTGATTCTTGAGCACCTTGAACAAGCCGCTCGAAAAGTCCGTCTGAATGTGGGCGACTTATTCTCTGCCCCGTGCCCGGCCGAACCACAAGATGTCGCAGCTCTAGTGACTGAGATGGGAGATTACCTAGCCCGGACTGCCCTGATATGGTCTGCTCTCATTCAAAGCCTCATCCAGGGGCCTCACATTGACCAAGTCACTCTACAAATCCTCGAGAAATCTCGAGTAGACACCGGGGTAGCAGACATCACGGCGTCCGTTTCCATGGACGTGACCCTAAGTCGTCTTCGGTATGTACCCGTTATTACCCCTTATCATTGCCTTACCTTTTCAATTTTTCTCTTGTCCTCATATAAGTCTTGACGCAGACTAACCATATCATGGCCACCATGTGCAGCAAGATGCGCGATCTGGCAGAGCAGTACTCTCGCGATGTCCAAGCTGTATGGAGGGTTGGAGGCAGGAGATCGAGTCTGGCCTCGTATGCCCCTCGAATGTCCTTCTCGTCACACGACGGCCCCCCATCGGTGACCTCATCGGCAACCTCGTTGGACATGCTGGATGCGCCTGATACGCTCTCGCGTGCAGCCAAACGTCGCAAGCAGCTTCCCGATGCCTCCGCTGTGCCGCGTGAACGAGCAGCGGCAGCGCCACATCCACCGCTGCCGCCGCTGCCGCTCTTACCGCCGGCTTCATCACTCTTATTGCCGCCCATCTTGTCTGATGGTGCAGACTCAACTGCACCGGCACCGAGCCACCAACTGCCGAGGTTGTCAAGGGCTGCGGCGAGGAGGGAAGCCGAAGCAAGGCCATTACTAATATCAACACCGATGGTCCCAATGCCGATGCCGGTATCGACCACGGCGTCCGAATCACCACCAACGCCTCCGCCACCAGAAAGCCCAGTTTCTGTAGAAACACCAGCGTCGGACGAAACGGCAATTGGCGCAAATCCTGGTGAACAAGATGAGTCAGATGACTACTCAGACGAGAATGAATTTGCGGGCATCAATATGAAGGCCTTGAAGCAGCGAGGCAAAGGGAAATACTACTGCCCCAGGGGCCATCAATGCGACAAGGGAGGGGTCGATAAACATGGCAATCTGATACTCTTCGACCGTAACTCTTCTTTTGCGTATGTAATAGTCATCTCTCCCCCATTCAGCGCGTGGCGCATGGCAATATAGTCATCCCTTCTCCCATCGAACCATAGGAGATTGGGAAAGCCAAGGGGCCCTGCTCCCGCAACCAGGCGGAAGAGGACCTTTCGCGCCATGTGCTTCAGCTGGCATTGTTTGCTAATCTATGGTGCAGGCAACACTGCAACAAACATCGAAAGCCTTGGCGGTGTGATGTGCCTGGCTGCCCCAATCCCCCCAAGAAGCGCCGATTTGCGCGTCGTGACGGGTTGGAGCGCCACAAAGCCACAGTCAAGCACTACTTTATGACGTGAGTAGGAGAAAATTCCCTCTTTGTTTGTGCAACCAGACAGGCTTACAAGCGCATTATGCGTAGACAGGTATGAGAATGATGGCCCAACTCAAGACGTTGAATCAGGGTGGAAAGCGGACATGAACATGCCGCAGGGATCAGCCGACAGCATAAATCACATGTGATGGGCGAAAACTACCAGTAAGCTGCTGAGGTTGGAGAGAACAAGGCCAACCGGGCCTGTCGATCTCACAGCGTGCCTCAACAACAAGTGCAGCGCCTTCCGAAGGATCGGTTCAGACAGCTAGAGAGTCGAGACGAGTCGGTGAGGCTGGCCCAAGTGCCAGTGCCATCCCCACGCCAGCGGCTCTCCCCGAGTCCGCGTCTTGTTAGCCTCAACGCCATCCACAAGGTGGACCGGGCTATCATTGTCCGTCTCTTAGCCCCCGATGTCACGGTACCCATCCTACCCCCGTACACACTAATTTTGTCTTTCGCGCTATAAGGACTTTGGTGGCTTGTTTCCAATTTGTTTACCCCTGTTGCCAAGTAAGGGAGGGTTGGTTTCTTTTTTTTTTTTTTTTCTTTTTCCTGGTGGCGTTATGTTCTTGCTTTGTTAGTAACAGCATCGGAAAACGCAACTCGCTCTGAGTGGCTAGATTATACGAGGATAATGATGACGACGAATACGGTGTCAGGCTAACTGACAAAACTATTGGGTTTAATAGCAGGCGGGCAGCAAAAAAAGAAAAGAAGGGCAAGATAGCGGGCGTTTAGTTAATTCGAGGGGCCGGGCCACCCATGTAAATGTTTCCGCATCCCAGAGAGCTGAACTCTGGGATCTGTCCATGGCTTCTGTTTGTGGATATTCTTCCCGAAAAAAAAAAGCTATTGATCCTTAATGTTCCGCGATGATAACCGCAAGCCAGGGGAAGCAAAGTGAGGCACATTTTTTTTTCCGGACCCGAACTGTGAATTCACACGACAGGGAGGTTGGCTGCTCAAGCTGGTTGAACAGGCTAGGTTCAACTGTTTCAAATATTGCTTGGGGGAACGGTTCCATTCATTGGGCTTCAACGTTCCATGATGCGTGATGAACTGATGGCCAGTTTGCCCGGTCTCACTGCTCATGCTGGTATCCAAGGAGTTGCCCGTGCTCTAAGCCTCATACGGAGAGAGGAGGGAGCATCCCCAGGGAAAAAAAGCAAACATCGTGTAATACATAGAGTGTCGAAAACGGGGCTGTATGCAGTTGTATCCCAAATCGTGCCCAATATTCCCACCTGAGCCTCGTCTATTTCTTCCCAATCTCTCGTCTTAGACCCAAAAGCAGCAGATTTTCTGCTGCTGCTGCTGCGCTGCCCCCGCTTCTCGCCCATCATCGGGCCAAGGTGTAGCCATGCTTCAATGCAAATGCACCCCTTCTCTTCCCTCTTAATTTACTTCTGCATTTTCAAATCATGAGTCAGGTCACGCGGTGCTGCACGTTGCGACTTGCATGAATCCTTGGGGTTTGCAGTGCATTTCTCTCTTGACCGGTCAATCTAAAATGCTGACCGGTCAGTGATGCCAGCCCTATCCAGCAAATGGGAGCAGCAGCACCCGCCACCAGACGCACATGGTGCATGCGTGATGACAACAGGCCCTGCGAGCTGGGTGGATCTCGCGCAAATGTGTGTGAGCCGTGCTTGAAGTACAGTACAGGCACTAAAACCTCTCAGGCACTACCATTCCGTACGGCACACTGGTCATTGTCATTAAGGTCGAAAATAAGCTGAGAGACGGCGTGGGGTGGGACAATGGAAGCCGAGTTCTCGGACTCGCCCCACGCGTAGCCTCCAGATTAACGAGACAGGCTGAATGCTCTCTAGTAAAGCAAATACTCCATACCCATATTTGAAAATTGCGAGCCTGATAGTTGGTAGTACAGCGTACGTCCTGGCCAAACCAGAATCACAGCGACTGACAGTTCTCCGCACTCTCTCCCAGCTTCAGCTATCAGAACAAGTGGTCAAAGTTACAGCCTGAGATCAGACGGTGACCACCTTCCAACTCTCTGGTACTTGGGCCGTTAGAAGCAAGTACGAGAGAACTCTCTTTCTGACTGGCCCCAGCTCCGAAGGAATAGGCCCAGATGCGAGGAGAACGACTTGACTGAGAAGCTCTTCGTTGTCCCGCTTACTCCGAAGCAGCGTATTGGAAACTAAGGATGCGGAACCAGGGAATGTTGGTCGTCTTTCCTATCATGGACATCGAGAAAAGAGCTACCCAACAGTGGGAGCTTGAGTGTGATCAGACGCCCGCCGGTATGTATTAGATAATACGTCGGAGGATTGCTTGACTGCCGACTCCAGCTACGGCAGTGGCGTTTTATTATCGCCCCAGAGTCCCGACTGCTGTCGAGGTGGCCACTTTGTTAGTCGCAACTAGTCAGCTAATAATAAATCGAGAACAGCATGTCACCAAGGAGTAACGACGACGCCCATCGAAAAAAAAAAAAACAAGATCAGAAGCGACAATATCGGAGGTCGAGGGGAAACAAGAGGGGGGAGGAAAGGCGCCCAGAAGGCAATCAAACAACGGAATTATGAGGGTAGAGTCATTTGTTCCATGTGATGAGCCCCAGCTGCTGAGGTCGGACGTCTCGTCTATTGAACTGCGACAATGGTAAGCCGACATAACTGACGGACGCTCATAACGAAGATTACCAACGGGATTCTCGGAGGGGTCAGCATCGACAACCTACAAGCGGCTTGCCACATCCAGAATGTCAGGTACCCCTAACAAGAAGACATGGCGTCATGATGCAGGACGAAATCGAGGTGTCGAGGCTTGTTAATTGAGGAAACTAGAGCAACGCCAATCGTCGAAGCCAGAATACAACGAAGCCTCGAGAGCACAGGCTCCTCTTCTTGACACTGGAGTATAACACTCCAATCGGAATGACCTCAGGTGTAGGGCGCGAGGTTTTGCTCCGAGCACTGCAGCGAATCCACTTGTTTCGGTCGAAGCCAAACCCAGCGTTGCCTCCATATTACCACACCTCCACGCCTCTTATGAGACGGTGTCGAAACCTAAACTGCTCACGGTTCGGCACACCGCCATCTCGGAGCGTGTTATTTGACAGATTACATGCGCGTACTTGTCACATTCGAAGTCAATATCGTGAGATAGCCATGGCACGTGGCTCGTCAACGGTGCGGGCCTAGAGCGCCATGACGACGTTTGGGAAGAAAATAGCAGCAGCGAGAGCGAAATGGATGTCACCGGTTGTCTTGATAGCCCGTCCTTGTTGTCTCTCCGCCAGAGCCAGGCCGCGGAAATGCTCTTTTGTACGACCTGGAAGGCATCTCTGGCAGAATGGCTAGCTCGCCATGACGTTGGGTTCGACCAGTCCGGGACGACAACGGCGTTTCTGCATTGACTGCGAGAGATGGAGCTAACAACCAGCAGGTAAACGCTAGCGAGTGGCGCTCTCTTTGCCCTCCTCGTCACTGGTCTGCTGCGTGTCAGGCACAGCAGCCAACACTTTGGCAAGACAGTGCAAAGTACCAGGCGGTGGCCGTGTCTTGCTTTCTCTTTGTCGGGGGCGGAGGGGGTGTATCGAGTTTGAAGGCTCGTGGTCCCACGTCTGGCCGGCCGCGCAGGAAAAAGCACACGTCGCACATACATACATGGACGCCCTCGACTTGCAGCTGCAGCACGTATCTGGTGGTTGCGATGCCTCCGTGAACTGCGAGCTCCGATACGCCATGCTCTGCCAATACAGGCTCACGCCGGCCGGCCCAAGCCATCCATACCCGGCCAAGCCTCCTACACTAGGTCGTACCCGCAAATGTTGTAGGTGGCGGTAGGATATGCATGGCACATGTGGAGCATCATGGCAGACAGCGAGCGGATAACGGACAGGCCAGGGAGAGGGGACAATGGGGCGGATGCTCGCGCTTTGGCATTAGGGCGATCGCCGGGGAGGTAGAGAGGGAACAGGGAGGAGAGATGAGGGCGTGGGGAAAAGAGAAGGGGGGCGAGACGAGGACTGCAAAAGAGAAAACATGGTGAGAGAAAACAACGAGGTTCGACAAGTTTGACGTGACACGAAAAATAAAGTACCTCTGCTACTTGTTGCCTCAGGGATCAACCGCCAAGTGCTCCGTACTTGGGGTACGATGCCAATCCGATAACGGCTGAGAGCACTCGATAACATTGAAGCAACAGACAAGATATGCACATACATACATGCCTGTACACACATGTCTCTGAGACAGAGGGGCAGACAGACACGGGACAGACAGAGAGCACGACGAATAGATCATGATTCGTTTTGTCCGTGTACGTACATGCTTCGTTCGTATGTACCTAAGGTACATACCTACCTAGGTACCTACCTATACATTGGACTGATGCTGCATTGAGTCGGAGTCTTGGCCGCGGCCCTGGCTGTTTTGCCTGTGGTAAAGAACCCGACATGAATGACATTGATCGATGTTCATGTGTACAAGATCAGGTACGCCTACATGTGCCCTTGGCTACAGACAGGTACCTTGCCTTGTCTATGTTGCCTTGCTGCACGCTGGGATGTGACATTAAGCTCGCAACTGCTTCCAGGTTCCAAGCCTCCACTGTCCAAGATCCCAGGTCAGCATTGAATCTGTATCCGACGCTCGTGGTCGTTTCCGCTGCCATTGTGCTTAGCGCAGCTTGGGGCCTTTGATCGCGCGTAGCTCGGCACTCAGTTGCTGACCAGGAGTGTCTTGCA